GCTCTCCGTGCCCCCCCGCCCCCCGCCTACCGCTAGGATCCCACCGGGGCCCAACAGCCTAATGGATCGTCCTCTCTCTTCACTCCTCTCCCTCCCTCTCTCTCTTTCTCCCTCTCTTGGCTGGCCCAGTCGATGTTGTGTCCGAGTAGAGAAAGCGAACAGGCGCGGCGCGGCGTGGCGCGGCCGAGTGGCGGGCGGAGGGCGCCCCCTGTCCTAATGCGCCCTTCAACTCCCACTAATCGAGAGGGTCGCGTCAAGCAGGCGTCAGGACGTTCCAGGGCCTTCCAGGACCTGTCGCCCAGGACTGCGGCGGCGGGCCCAAACAAAGAGGGACGGCCAGTCAGAATGAATGTGTGCGTGTGGCAGAGAGAGAGAGAGAGAGAGAGAGAGAGAGAGAGAGAGAGAGAGAGGCGTAAGGGTTTGCTCACCGGAATGTATCGCAACGGGTTAACCGGTTGATCCTGATCCTTAGGGCCTAACTGACATTTGCTTACCTTTCAGATTCGTATCCCTTCGAGTCACAAGGATCCGCGTCGAGAGGTAAATCCCATAAGTGTGTTGTCACTGCACTGTCACTGTTCACACATCGCTCGCGGGGCCCGACGCGACCCGCTATCTCGCTCCCCCTCTGCGCGCGTTCGCTCGCTCTCTCGCGCGTCCTCACTCTGCCGACCCGACTCGGCTCCTGCTTGCCACGGTTCGGCTCGGCTCTCGGCTCCGGCGCGCTTCGGCTCTCGGCTCGGCCCGCGGCTCTGCAGGAGGCGAGGAGCGGGCGACCGTCTGGCTCAACGAGCACTGACGCACTGAGGCAGGGCGGCTGGCGGGCAGGCCGGGCAGCCCGGGCGGGCGGACGGGCGGCAGGCGGGCGGGCCGCGAGCGGAGCAGAGAGCAGCCTGCCGGCTTGCCCGCACACTCCGCACCGCACTCCGCTAAGCTAAACAGTCTCTCTCTCTCTCTCGCTCGCTCCCCCTCTCGGCTCGCTCTCTCTTTCTCTCTCTAGCCTGCTCTGTCGCCCTTTAAACGTACAGCTGTCTCTGTTGCTCCGCCGTCGTCACCCGCTGCTCTATGTCGTCGCCGTGATCACTTCTTTTCTCTCTTCTCCTTCTTATTTTCTCTCCTCACCTCCGCCTCCCCCTGACCCTCTCGCCGACAATCTCTGAATGCCTTAGATTTCAGCCAGGCGACAGGAGCGCTGCTGAAACAGGCCGGGCCGGCTTACACTTCAGCCGCCCCCCT